TATATATTGTGCTTTATGGCCTATGTGCACGTTAAAGAACGCAGTGCTCTTCCGAAAATAAAGAAGGTTAATCTCCCAGTGTACTGCTTAGCAATCTCAAGCAAAGGACTTTAGAATTTCGTGGGTTATTCTTTGTGTTTTCCATCTATAAGTTGTATGAAACAACCAATACCCTATCCATAACCGATTGTTTCTCTTTTCTTTTTGGAAGACAAGAAAAGAAATGGGTTGCTCATACAATTGGAGGTGAAAATGCTAGGGGCGGATCTGGTTTCAAATTTAGTTGGGTGGGTCAAATGTTTCCCGAGAAAATGTTGATTCCTAGATGGTGGTGAAATGAGCTTTCCCGACTTTCCCGGAAATGTCTTTTACCCCCTTGAAAACGATTCCATGAATCGATGGACCCCAAAGAGAAAGTAGAGTCCGGGTTATCCCTTGGAAAATGTTTATTTCTAGATAGCGAGAAAACAGCTTTCCCGACTTCTGAAGTGGATTTTAAGTTCTTAAAAATTTAAGGTTTTTTCCTCTCATTTTCATTACTTATTAAAGAAACCGAGTATAGTTGACTACGTATTCTGTTTTCCATGAATCGATGAACCCCAAAAAGAAATGGGGTTGGGAGGTCCTCCCCGGGAAAATGTGATACGTAGTTGGCGGGAAATGAGCATTCCCGACTTATGTACATTTTCCCATGTAACAAAAAATGTTCAGCTCATGGATCCAGTGGCGGTGCCAGCGGGGGCAGCAGGGGCTTAAGCCCCCACTAGACAGGTCAAGACCCCTCCCCCCACATCAGACAGAGCTCGTCGGGCAGTCGGACTAAAAAACTTATAAAAATAGGCCCACGAAAAGCCAACACATGTCTGTCACAGTCTGAGAGTGTCATTTCTTGCTATGCTTAAAAAAATCCTCCTATTCTTAAAAAAAAATCTCATTTTGGGAGGGAGAACACCCTCTCAAACCCTTCCCCCAGTTCGGGCCTACGAGCTCAAGTTCCCCCTGTCGGACAGCTCAGACCCCCAGAAATATATCCTAGGGCCGCCACCGCACGGATCTAGAAAATGTGGCCAATCAAGATAACTTTTATTATTATTTTTTGCCTAAAGAAGGGGGAGTCAAGACCCCTGACCCATTTAAATCCGCCTATGAATGCTTTTCTGCAAGACACTATACTGTTTTATCCAACAAGAAAAAAGGATTCCGGTGGAAAGGTAAAATTTCCAGATCCTTTTTCTCAGAAAATGTTTCTGTAAAGAATCCATAGTAATTCCATAGTAATATAAATATGTATGATGCTCATTTTTAACTTATATTTTATAACAACCATATTTAGGCTAATGAGGGTGAATATCCGGCAGCAGATTATTATTGGGACCCTCAATATAATTTACAGAAAATATCTTAACTACCAACTTGAAAGAAAGAACGAAAACATTAAATTCAAATATTAGTAAAAATTGAGATTAATACGAAAAATGTGACGCATCTTTGGTGAGATTATATTAATTAATATTATGAGTTCAGGTGTAGGTTCATGAAGGAGGAGGTTATTTGACCTGAACTGTTTGTTTAATATCGTAAATGCTGAAATGCCGGTGAGATGAGATAAAGCAGCCAATTAAGTAATAACTTGCCACTGGCGCTAAGAAAAAATCAAGCAGTTACAGGAAAAACAAAACAAGAAAAAGTATTAAGATGCACTGTCTTTCATAAGCTGAAACGAAAATTCAATTCCATATCTGAACTGTTTCGATGTGTCTTGGACGCCATCCTGAAAAACACATGTGTCTATTGGGCTAAGAATTAACTATAAGGCCCCACCCACTCTTGACCGTCACCCTCAATACACTGTACACAATAAAGTAACACATGATCAGATATAGTGTGATTCGGTCGTGATTTATTACGACAAAAGGCAAATGGACCGTCGCACATGATCGGTCCCTAAATTAATTTCCATAGTAAAAATTCTTAAAAAGTGGCCAACAAGCCAAGCGGCAGGGTGCCGTAGCGCCCTAGTGTATTGGAGGAGGAAGGGGTGGCAGGCGGGAAAAAGAATTTCCAAGGAGTTATCGGTGCACAGAGCGAGGTAATTACAATCCGCAACGAGAAAAGGGGCCCGGTTATGATTCCACACGAGGAAATGCAATAGGTTGAAATTATTACGCCGACCGAGTGACACCAATTGGGGTGTACTTACGCCCTTTGACACAATGAGTTTTTCCGCTGGTGTCGGAAAATTTATTTCCTGTGGTTTGATATCCTGACATACACTAATAAAAAGCCGTTAAAAAGCTTTTATGGGAATTTTCTCGGGTTATGCCCTTTTTTCATAAATTGACCCGCTTATTAGTATATATCCATAGGCTAGTCGACTAACGATGGGGAAGGACACAGGCATGTCCAAAATATTCGTTTGAAATAAATAAATGTTATGTCTAAATGTTAACGTATGCAATTGTTTTTCTTATATTTTTTGTATCTGCTTTTATCTATTGTGAGACATACGTGGAACTAACTAAATCCGATTTTAAAAATCATGGCAACGTCCCTGATATGGGCTTCCTGTTGCTCACCACTTTAATTTACCGAGCCATACTATCAGTGATTTAGGCTTTATAATCTTAGGCACCAATTTCTACTGTACTAAGGCTAGAAGGCTGTCTCTTATACACATCTAGATGTGTATAAGAGACAGATCC